TCAATAAAATAAGATTGGAAATTTGAAGGTGCATTGTGACCTTATAACACCGGACAGTGTCACTTATAAAACAAAATCGGTATTGGCCAAGATCGGAATCGGCAGGTCAGGTTTGTTAGAGATCGGTGATCGACCAGAAAAATGCAATCAGTGCACCCCTAGTTACGAATAAGTGTTTCACTACCAGAGAAGCATGTTTATCATTCTTCTTAACCATAGGCTTCAACAACAGCTTTTCAGCCATAATTGCACAGGAACTTCCAGATCTGTGCTTGCATGGTTGCAATAAACAAACATGTCTTACTGTAAAAAAAAAAGAAAATCCATAAAATTTGGAAACATTCAACATTTTTGCTGCAGCAATCAGGTGAAATTACAGGCTACATCGATCAGTTATTAGTCAACTGGAAAATTATCCAATGATCCATCAGGGGTGTCCAATCCTGGTCCTTGAGGGCCACTACCCTGCATGTTTTAGATGCTTCTTTGCTCCAACACACCTAATTTGAATCAATGGATGATTAACAGACTTCTGCAGAACATGAAGAGGTAATTAAACCATTGAACCATGTGTGTTGGAGCAGGGAAACAAGTAAAACATGCAGGACGGTAGCACTCGAGGATTAGGGTCACAACTCTGAACCAGATAATGCAAGTGATCACTTAATTCTTTTGAAGTGCGAGCACAAAACTGAAAACCATCCATTACAAAAATAAAAAATGTAAACAATGGTTCAAGTGTGCCATAGAAGACACAGTTCTTGCCAATATGAGCTTTAACTTAAACACAAGATAATAGAACTACAGTGAATCCAGGCATCTAATGTCATCTAATGTGACGATAGTATGATGGAATTGTCAACAAACTTTATAGATTGGCTGGGACAAACTTCAGGGTTCTATTCTGTGATGTGAATGCATACAAAAAAAAAATAACTGGTAAGAATTACATTACCTATAATCCAACATAATCCTTACAACTACTGAGTCTATGGCCACAATTGACAATAAAAACATGTATGATTGCTAACTTGAAGGAAAAAGAGAACAAATTATTATTAATCCAGATGACACACAATGGAAAAGAAGAGAGGTCGTTGTAGATGAACAGATGCTGAGATATATTCATCAATTAAAACGGATTCCTCATTTTTCTGGACTGAATAAAACGTGCATTGAATTTAATGAAATGTAAACGTGAGACGTCATTTATCTTTGACCCATCAAAATGAATGCGGTCATTTATTTTACAGAATCAAAGTTTAACATCAAACATTTACATTAATTTGGCAAAATATGAAAATAACAACATAATCAATCGCTTTACAGGTAGTGAGAAACAATGCGGCAATTGTTTCCACTCTTCAGCAGAACAGCAGACATCAATGAAAACTGTACAATTATGATCAATTATCCACACGGCGGTGGATGAGCACTTTACACAGACATTTCTAAATTATCTGGAAGGATTTCTACTTGAGAGAAGAATTTAAAGATGGAAATGAAGTTTAAAGGGAGTAAAGTATGGATGAGGGAGAATGTGGTGTGTATGAGTGAAAAGTGTTGACAGGACGACACCCTCCATCCGACCCAGCTTTTCCTCGGTACGCTAAGTAGGAGACTTGACTCATTACCTCTCTGAAGATGACTCAGAAGAAACGAAGTCCAGTTACGCTACCTGTCCAGCGTCTCCATAGGATGGCTGTGACTCGTCCGAAGTGGTGACGGGGCTTCGTCAACAACAGTTCACCTCACCGGGTGGACTCCACATGAGTGGGGTTCTTCAGAAGTTCCACTCAGAGGAGGAAGATGTTATAATCCAAACTCCTAAGAGCCTTATCATGGCTGGAATTCTGTTCTCCCAAACGACTTCACAGAACTGCGAACATCTCAGAACTTCTCAGCGCAGAACTGAACTAGGAAGTACCGGCATTTTAAAGAGCTCTATTTCCGGTATATTTGAGCGCCCCTGATTGGTCAATATTAACCAGACAGGGGTGTGGTTTGTGACGTAAGAGGTTACTAGAAGTCAGAAAACAGCAAGAATTGTTATGGAACAGATTAAAACTGTTCTCAGAGACAGGGAAAGTTTTGTTTTGGCGAGTTTGGAGAACAGGTGCCAACTTCTCTGTTGACGTCTGAGAGGATGTAAACAAGACAGTTGTTCCAACACATGTCTGCTTCGACTCCTGACCTTGGAAAACGCACACTTGCTCATTCAAAGACAGAAATCAGAAAATGCATAAAAATCTGTAACAGACCTTAACATGAATTCTAACTCTGCATAAGCAACTAAAAAATCATTGTTACTGTTTTACAGTTAATAAAATTGATTAGTTCACTGCAACATCTAAAATGGTTTGAACTAAGACACTTTGATTATCAACATTTGTAAAATAGTAATGATAATAAAAAGAGAGTGTTCTTTCACTTGATTTTCAAGAGAGAAAGTCTCAGGATGGGTGAACCTGTATTTCTGGGTTCAAATCAATGAAATGACAGTTCCTGTCCCACAAGGTTCTTAAGGTCAAGGGTTTTGACCTTAGGCTTAGTTTTGACATCAGGTTAAGTTCACTACATCGTCAAGATTTTTTTTTTTTCAGTTGGCAACTAATTCTTTCATGTCAGCTGGATTCAGCCATTTTTCTTTACAAAAGTCATTACCAGCTCATTTATCATGTGATCAGTCATGGGTGGAAAGTTTTCCAGTCGCTAGAAAGAATATGTTAAGTTGTGTCCATCTCCTCAACTGAATACCAGCACCATTTACATTTTGCCTTTGCTTACAACCCCAAATTCCAAATACGGGACGATATAGAACCTACTGGAGATTACCACAAATTCTGTTCAGATAGGTTCATCTATTATAGTATGTGTTTAATTAAAACTGCTCTATGTGTCAGAACAAAAAATCACAAGTTATGTTGTATACTTGGGGCAGCACAGTGGCTCCGTTGGTAGAGCAGCCGCCTCTCAGCAAGAAGGTCAGCGGATCAAATCCCAGTCAAGGGCTTTCTGGGTGGAGTATGCATGTTCTCTCCGTGCATGCGTGGGTTTTCTCCAGGTACTCCAGTTTCCTCCCGCAGACTAAAAACAGGCATGTTAGGCTGATTGGTAACTCTAAATTGTCCCTAGATGTGAGTGAGAGAGTGGATGGTTGTTTGTCTCTATGTGGCCCTGTGATGGACTGGAGACCTGTCCAGGGTGTACCCCACCTCTCGCACAGTAAATGCATGTGACGTTTATGAAAATGTGTAAAGTGTCTCTTGGTCTCCCAAACAAACTGCATTTGACTCAAGACTAAAACAAGCATGCTGGCTTTGGTAAATATGACAAGACAAAAAGTGTGAGGAAATCCATCTCTAAAGATAGAATTTTCTTAAATAAGTACTTTTACATGTTTGACCTACTAGGTATTGTTAAACCTCTCAGCATCTTAATAAGACAGCATTCTCAGCATACCATCTGCAATGAAGTCCTGATGAAGGCAGAGTATGGCTACCTGCCAGCCTCCCTTTCTGCTCTGCAATCTGCCCATACGATGGGAGGTAGAGTAGGCAGTGCTGCAGCCTACTTCTCTCCCTCGATTACATGCTTGCTGACTAACCCCCACTCGGAAACGCTGCATATGCCACTGCAATTCTGCCACAAACCGCAAGTCACCCATAAGCTCCTTCGGGTGACATTGGCATAATGAAAACCCAAGGATATGGAGTAAAAGCACTGGAGATTTAACACAAAGCTTCTTTTTTGGTAGAGTGTGAGAGATAAAGAACAAGTGAGCCATATCTAGGAGGGACACTTGATCTTATAGAAGATTCATATAGGCTTAATCTAATGAAGCTGATAAGGCAGATATACAAGAGTTGAAGAAAGTCAGAGAGCCTGCTGAAAGAACTGTTCCTCAGTCATGAGCTGTCTTATTACTAAGTCATTAAATGTTTCTGCTCATGTCAAGAGGACAGTGTTCATCTGGCTGCTGGAATGGGACATACAGCACAGACATGATTAAGGAGACAGCTAACGCTTCGCAGTCCCTGATGACTCACAGGCACAAGTAAGCAGGTTGAATCACATGAAAACACAATAAATATCTTGCTTTGCTGTTACTTTTATATACATTATATAATTTAATTACACAAGAAAGCACTCAGTTAAGCAAGGCACCTACAGATATAGCACCAGAAAGGTTTGATATCTTTATGGAAAATTGATCCATTAAATTAGTCCATTTTAATTTTGCTGCATGTCAAATCTAGGAGAATTTTCTACACCCTTTTTTAAGCTCATTAGCTGTTCATTAGCAATACTGTAGCTTTGTTTTCACACATCCTGCACATATTGAAAAAAATAATAATGCAATAGCCTACAAGTAAAATAACTGGTGTCTATCTATCACTATCTTACTCTTTGATCCCTATAATATGTTGTCAAAAGTAACAAAACTTGTTAACACAGCAACATAAGAAATTGTACATTTTGGCAATTGAACTACTTGAGTTTCTCAGGAGAATTATAGCAGTATGAATGAAAGGAAAAGCTTACCAAGTGAATAAACAACTTTCTCCCATAACATTTTATTTATCTTTTAACAAGCATTATACAAAAGGTTTAAATAAACGCAGAGATAACATAATTGTAAACTATACAAGAAAACGCATACCTGTCATAAAACACTGAAAGTGATAAAGCTCATGAACTGGGGAGGTTAGCTGGTTATGCTCTCAAATGACTCTTGGGTCTTTGAGTTTTCTCACATGCAGACTCTTCAGGCATGTAGGCCCCTTCAGAGAAGTAGGTTTCTCAGTCTATGGGTCCTTTATTTTCTTTTAGACCATTAGCCCCCAACATCCACTATTCAATTTGCTCATTCTGCTGCATTTTGCAATGATCCCTGAAGGAAGACCATATGGGAGAATGTGTGGTACACCAAACATTTCTTAGCAGACTGACCTGGATCAGTTCAAGATGAGGTGTGTGCACACTCGCAGGCTACTTACTTGTAGTGTTGCCTTGCATCTGAATGATACATTTGGACTCCTTGCTTATTTCCCTGGTGTTGAAAGGCCGAACTCGAACGGCAACTTTTACGGATGCCCCAGACATGTTTGCTGTTCAGAACTGTGTCGCAGTAGGACTGTTTATATACCCCTCCTAAAGAAAGCACACAAGACATATGTATCTCTTCGTCAAAATAACAGCCATCTATGTATATTCGACCAGAACGCAAGAAAAGTTGTACTTGTTTTTCATCAGTAATTTCCAAGAGTAACAGACAGCAACAAATATAGCCAAAGTCACTGAAGCCTTAAAGATTTATAAACAGTAGTTAATCAAAGCTTTACAGATTAGATGAAAATAAATTAGCATATTAATAACTGATCCCAATTATGTGGGAATTCCGTTGTCCCAAACAACAGGATTCTTATTATTTCTGTGAATTGTTTATTAAGATCAACACAACTTTATGCGTTGTCAATTTAAACCACACATCCTGGTGACCAATGACTTCATAACCTAAACATCTCTTTGTTTTATTTTTCCTCCAAATTCTTGAAGTCAGCCATACTTGCTGAGGAATACGCCCATGAAATTCTATCTTCATCTTCTAGTGTGGGCTAACAGGGCCTGTCTGCCTGCATGCAACACTGCTCATCCTCTCTGCACAAAAAGAGCTTAGACGTGTCCGATTTTGAACATTAAAATCGTCGATGTTAAGAAGTGGGCTAATCCTCTTCCCCTGTATGTTGTGGAACCGTGCAGGGAAGTGTTACATGCTTGTATTAAACAGCGCAAACTGAACACGGTGTCCGCATTTACACCGCTGCTGTGCGGGAAGGTAAACAGCACATTCGACATTAAATTATAATTGTAGTTTTGAACGACAGCTCTTCACTGGAAGACAGAAAGCTTAGCGGCTGCCGCTTATTATGCTGCACAGACCCACCAGGGGGTCAGCAGCTATCAATATGTAGACAAATATCATGCCCACAAACTATTAGCACAACATAAATTGATAATTTAACGCCAATGATAACCGTTAATCCTAACCAACGTCACGTGAACCGTGGCATATGACTAATGTGTTGTGACACTAACAGATGTTCAACTACAAAAAAAAATAATAATCCGTAATAACAAACATGTCAGCAAAAACAGTCACAAATATATAAACAAATTTATTGTTCATACTTACGTTTAAAGACTCACCGAAACCACCGGACGGTCAGTATGGCGTGAACTAACGTTAGCTAGCTTGCGCGCGACAGGATGTGTTTTTTTATTCAGAATTTGCACGAATGTAAACAGCTACAAAGTCCATTTCCGTGAAATACCCCCATTATAGTGGCATTCTCCGCCAGGTAATAAGAAACAGCGAGTCCGTTTACTGGTTTAATTTCTCGTTACGATAGAAAACGGACGCCTATCTGCGCCCGGGCGAAAATGGAAATCGATGGGTCGTCTTGATTTACCGAACAGATTACGTCAACTCCCTCTCCTACGTACTGATTGACAAACTGACGGGCCAATGAACGTAGAGATACGGTTGACTAATTCGTAAACGAACCAATAGGAGAGCTTCTTAGTCGGAAGCCGAGTGGGTGGAGCTTCTCGCTCCATTTTTCGGTCGTGACGCCACACTGCAGGATTTCTACCGCTCCCCGCAAGGCTGTCACCGCATCACAAGGGTCACCGCAAAGAGCGTACTCTAGCGAGAAACTAACGGTACCGCATCCCAATATGTCAACCTATGTAAAAAATAAAAATAAACTATAGATACAGCTAAAATAGTGAAACAAACATCAAACAGGGAGTCACTCATTTTATCTCAGACATTTGATGTAGGAAAATCTAAATGAAATGTATATATACCATACCACTTTATTTATAAAGCACTTAAAACAGATACAAGGCCAACCAAAGTGCTGTACAGACAGAACAACAGGTAACACACAAAGCAAAATACAAAATGAGGTAAATCAGAATATAGACATAAATATATCTATATATTATATAATATAATAATATATATATATATATATATATATATATATATATATATATATATATATATACATTTAATGAGAAAAGTCTAAAACGAGCTAAAGGACATCATAAATTACTAATATTGACTCAAAAGCCAACTTAAATTACACAGATGAACAGAAACGTTCAAAATAACAAGAATTTATTGAAAATAACAAAAATGTTTATGGTCACAAAATAGACACATTGCAAGATTCAGATGCAGCAATCAAAAATTGTAAATTTTACCTGCATTTTTTTTCCTAAGATCATATTTTATCAGTTAAAAAGCAAAATGCATGAATGTGTTTGAAACATCTGCCTATATTATCAACATATTTCATTGTAAGGTTTTGTGCAACACATTTGAAAAGCCTATGTACTAAAGGAGCATTTTAAATGTTTAGGATTCATTGCTTGTTTAGCCTATCTAAAACTAAATTATGCTTTTAGCAATGCTGAAAGTTTACTTTGATTACAGGTGCTGGTCATAAAATTAGAATATCATGAAAAGTTGATTTATTTCAGTAATTTGATTCAAAAGGGGAAACTTGTATATTATATTCATTCATTACACACTGACTGATATTTTTCAAATGTTTATTTCTTTTAATGTTGGTGATTATAACCAACAACTAATCCATCCAACCATCCATTATCTTTACCCTTTTATTCCATTTTGGGTCACGGGGGTCGCCGGTGCCCATGTCCGGCAATCACTGTGCGAGGGGCGGGGTACACCCTGGACAGGTCGCAAGTCCATCTCAGGGCCACATAGAGACAAACGAGACAAACAACAATTCACTTACTCACTCACACCTAGGGACAATTTAGAGTTACCAATCAACCTAACATGCATGTTTTTGGTCTGTGGGAGGAAACCGGAGCACCCGGAGAAAACCCACACATGCACAGAGAGAACAAGCAAACTCCACCCAGAAAGGCCCCTGGACCGGGGTTTGAACCAGGGACCTGCTCGCTGAGAGGCAGCAGCTCTACCAGTTGTGCCACCATGCTGCCACCAACAACTAATGAAAACCCCAAATTCAGCATCTCAGAAAATTAGAATACTGTAAAAAGACTCAATATTGAAAACACCTGGTGCCACACTCTTATCAGCTAAATAAATCAAAACACTTGCAAAGGCCTTTAAATTGTCTCTCAGTCTAGTTCTGTAGGCTACACAATCATGGGAAAGACTGTTGACTTGACAGTTGTCCAAAAAACAACCACTGACACCTTGCACAAGGAGGGCAAGACACAAAAGGTCATTGCTAAAGAGGCTGGCTGTTTACAGAGCTCTGTGTCCAAGCACATTAATAAAGAGGTGAAGAGAAGGAAAAGTTGTGGTAGAAAATAAGTGTACAAGCAATAGAGATAACCACATCCTGGAGAGGATGGTGAAATAAAACCCATTCCAAAATGTGGGGGAGATTCACAAAGAGTGGACTGCAGCTGGAGTCAGTGCTTCAAGAACCACCACACACAGACATATGCAAGACATGGGTTTCAGCTGTCGCAGTCCTTGTGTCAAGCCACTCTTGAACAAGAGACAGCATCAGAAGCGTCTCACCTGGACTAAAGACAAAAAGGACTGGACTGCTGCTGAGTGGTCCAAAGTTATGTTCTCTGATGAAAGTAAATTTTGCATTTATTTTGGAAATCAAGGACCCAGAGTCTGGAAGAAGAGAGGAGAGACACAAAATCCATGTTGCTTGAGGTCCAGTGTCAAGTTTCCACAGTCAGTGATAGTTTGGGGTGCCATGTCATCTGCTGGTGTTGGTTCACTGTGTTTTCTGAGGTCCAAGGTCAATGCAGCCATCTACCATGAAGTTTTAGACAATTCATGCTTCCTGCTGCTGACCAACTTTATGGAGATGCAGATTTCATTTTCCAATAGGACTTGGCACCTGCACACTAAGCTTCCAGCACCTGTTTTAAGGACCATGGTATCCCTGTTCTTAATTGGACAGCAAACTCGCCTGACCTTAACACCATATTGTGAGGAGGAAGACGCGATACACCAGACCCAACAATTCAGAAGAGCTGAAGGCCACAATCAGAGCAACCTGGGCTCTCATGACACCTGAGCAGTGTCACAGACTGATTGACTTCATGCCACACCGCATTGCTGCAGTAATCCAGGCAAAAGGATCTCCAACTAAGTATTGAGTGCTGTACATGCTCATACTTTTCATGTTCATACTTTTCAGTTGACCAACATTTCTAAAAATCCTTTTTTATTGGTCTTAGGTAATATTCTAATTTTCTGAGATACTGAATTTAGGGTTTTCATTAGTTGTCAGTTATAATCACGAACATTAAAATAAATAAACATTTGAAAAACAAAAACAATCTGTGTGTAATGAATGAATATAAAAGTTTCACTTTTTTGAATGGAATTACTGAAATAAATCAACTTTTTCATGATATTCTAATTTTATGACCAGTACCTATATGCAAAAGAATAAACTTGCATATGTGAGAAAGTACAGACTGCACTGCTAGTAAAGAACACATTATCACAAACTATGAATTGTCCATGTAAATTTTTAAAACACGAGTTATTTTATTGGTCTTTTTTAAAATATACCGTTTCCAAATATTACCACTAAACCTGAATGGTAGAAACTCTCTGTGCTTACAAACAGGTTGGGTATTAAACATTTTACACACTCTTTTGATAAGCTCAACGTGGCGATGAGCTGTGAAATGTTACCATTATTTACTTTCCAAGTCTTAAAACTTCTTTCTAGTGGCCATGATGCATATTTTTGTCTCCATATCTTCTCTAGTTAATTGGAAACAGCTTGGGAGGTTCACTACATGAAGTCAAGCACACATACAGTAATTAAAAAGATTTTTGAAGTCAGTAGTGATGTTAAAAACATGTAGAGATGAACACTGTATTCTGTTAATCACAACACATTTCACTTAAGGACTTAAAAAATGATTTTTATATTTGTTTGTGTTGTGCTTCATTTTTAAAGGTTCCAGTTAGTTTTAAAAGTACAAACGGTCCCATAAGTTAGATCTTGGACACCAACTTATGGTAATTTGTTTAGACTCAAGTGTATTATTATCCTGATACAGAGTCAAAATAAATAAATCAAGACCAGCAATTTTCTTCCAAATATACTATCTTCTTCTCTCCCGCTAATAAAATTTTAATGAAGCCAACAATATTGCAAAACAATTTAAAAACAGGACAGGTTGGATGCACTGCCCTGTTGTTGAAAATGAATGTGTGAAATTCAATACCTGAACCAAACACAGTTAAATACATTTCATATTTTGATATACAAACACAAAGTCGAGAGAAAACTTAAAAGTCTTTACTTTATTATGTTTCGCTTTTAGAACCATGATAATGGTTTGAGACAAAAAAGGGTAAATGCAAATAAAAATCCAATCAAGTCGTCCCCCCCCCACAATTCAAAAAGTTGTTCTCATTTTAGCAGTGACACTGAATGCAGGAAATTTGGACAGATCTTCATGATTTGAGGACCAGACGTTGGTCCTCAGACAGGCCGTCCGCCCTGCTTCTCTCTCATCCAGGCATGGATTCTCACCTTTAATTCAGGCACTGCAGAATAAACAACATGGAGAAAAGCAGCTGAACTACAAACGCAACACAGCATGAAGGAAATTAATTAGACCAATTGTTGAAATTGCCTCAAATCCAACTAAAATAATTGCTTTTTCTGTCTTTTCATGTGTTGAGTGATAATCATGGAGTTACCTGGCTCCAGCATGCTCTCTGTGAGCGGCTGCCTGTTGAAGGGGTCAGTGGGGGAGTTGAGCAGGTGGCGCAAAATGATGGATCTGTCCATGATGTTCCCTGAAGGCAGCATCACAGGGTCAGTCATCAGGGTGTCCATCAGAGGGTCTGTGGTAATACACATTTCACAATTACGACACAAATATGACAGCAAGCATAAACACACTTCTAATTTATAAAAATCTATGCAACACTATATTAGTGCACATATCAAAACATATATAAACCAAAAATCCAATAAATATTTTCATAAAGTGTGCTCTGTGTATTGAAATGTCACAAGGTTGTTAAAGTGGGGGCTGCACGTTACAAAAATAAAACTTCTTGTGTGATATTGTAACCACGACGACAGCTGATCCTCCAGCCTCCTGTATGGCACACTCCCCTCAACTGCGGTGGGCTGGCAGACGGATCTAAAAATCAAAGGTGGTATGCAGACCACATTCTCCTTCTGGATTATATTAAGTCTGTGGTTACAGGATAGCCTTGCTCTAAGCTGTCTATATGATCTGTATGAGCTGCAAAATCTGCTGCAAATGTCTGGAATTTACTGGCGACCCTGTCTGTCAGTGAATGACCTGGGGTCACACTACAGGACCCCCCCCCCCCCCCCCCATGACAAAGGTTCAGTAACATACTGAATGTAAATTAGATTCCCAACATTAACATATTTCCATTTTTCCCCACATTTATTCTTGGTTTTTAACAGATAGTTTATAAAACTAAACAAAATAACGTACCATTATAGAATGCCACTATTATCAAATGCCAAAAATATCAGCCATGCCAACAAACGCACCTTTGAACTCATCAGGTGCATCACTGTAGTCCATTTCAGACTGAGAGTTCTTAGCAACAATTTCTTCCACCTTCTCTGATAGCAGCTTGAATTTCTCAATGGCAATAGAGGACTTGATACCAGCCTTCCTCATCTTTGAGATCACCTCCTCAAACAGTTCACGGCTGTACGATCGCTGTGAAAGAAATGGAAAATATATATCTTTTGTTACATTTTGAGGTGAGTATTCATTATTTTACTGGTAAACAAAAGCAATTTGAGAAGTTAAATCTTTGGCTTTTGATGAAGATTTCTAATTTAGACCTGATGTCTTTATTTTTCTTTATATGTCTTTAGAGTAATGCAACAGTTTAAATCACATCAAGTCAAAAAGCTACAAAGCACAAATGTGTCATAAGATCCACATGTACTAATACAGTTTATGGCTTGTTGGTCATCAAACTGTTAGCCGTTTAGGGTATTAAAGCTTAATGTATTAAATATTTCTATTAGAGGCTAAAACATTATGGTGGTGAAATCTGGTCCGGTTGTCAGTGCTAACCTGATCATCTGCAATTGCTTTAGCAAAGCGGGCGCAGTCTAACTGAAGGTAGATGTCAGTCAGCTGGTCCAAGAGCTTCTTGGGCTCGAAGCCGTACTTCTCAGGGTTCTCCACCTTTAGGTCTCGACACTTGGGTCCACAGAGCTGCTGAAGGTTAAAGTTCAGCATGGCAGCTAAACGAGGTCCAAGCTCCTGTGAGAATAAGAAGTACTCTTTAGAATATAGTTTGGTTGAAAACGTCCAAATTGAGCTGACAACTTGGCTTTTATATTCACAACTATTAACTAATCAAAAATACATTCACGACTGCAGAGCATTGGCTACATGCTGTGGAAACAGTGACACTCACAGGCCTGAGGAAAGGCTTCTGAACCTGCTTGGTGAGAATGTGGAACATTTCAACCGTTTCTGTGGCCAGAGCTAGATAGGAACGAGATACGCGCTCATCCTGAGTCAGCTGGGACTGCCTGCTCTGCTGCTGCTCCTGAAAGTAAAAAAAAAAAAATTTTTTTAAAGGTAATGATGTTCCAATCCATAACTCATATCTTTTACAAAATTCATAGCTCAGTAGAACCATTAATTGTACACATAAAACAGATATAACCACCAACTATTAACAGTGAAGGCATGATTGAAGCATTTACAGAGCAGAATTACTAAGGGGTACCAAACCTGGGGAAAAAAAAAAAAAAAAAAAAAAAAACGTACCAGGGAATGTGCTCACCTTTTTTAATGAAAACTTTAAGTACAATTACATAAATCAATATTACTACTATTATTACTATTATTACTGTGACCCTAACTAAGCTTTAGCAAGTTCAACTTTTGACCTCACCAATTTGGAGATTGTTTTTCTTTTTCTCATGTGCACTTTTGTTATGCGTTTCATCGCTGCCTGAACATGTGTAATTCTTCTTAAAGGAGAACAATCGTACAGACCCTGGGTAGTTGCTCCCAGTGCTCCTTGTTCTTCATCTCTTCTTGAACTTCATGAATACGCTTCAGGGAATCAAGGCTCTCATCAAGCAAGAAGGTGGTGTCGTTAATCAGCATGTTGATGTAGCGCACAAACTGCTTGCCAGAGCTGGTTTGGAGCGAGCACAAAAACAAAAAAAGAATGGATCAGGTCAACACAAGTAATCCACAGTGACAAATCGTGTGCATTTATTTTATTTATTTGTCAGTAGCGAACTCACTTGAATTCCTCCATAAAGGTGCCATGGTGAGCAATATTCTGCCAAAGACTCTTGAAGATGGTGCTGATATGATACCGTATAGTGAACTTATCATAGAACTCACTGGTAGCACCAGTGTGCTCGACATCTAACCAGAAAAATAAAAAAGGTAGAATAAAAATATATATCAGATAACAACTTGTGTTTACAGAGGACAGGGTACACAACAAACAAATCCTGGCAAGTACAAGAGATGAACCAGTCATCAAGTAAGGTTTCACATTAGTTGCTCCAGCTGAAGGGTTTTAAAACCTACCAAGTAATCATGATTCATTCTGTATTGCAAATAAAACACAAGGGTCTAGCAGCTAAATGTTTAGTAGAAGTGGAGCTCAATATTCAATACTGCCAATATTTTACAACAAATTAGAAATTTGACAGTCTTCTATAAAATGTAATGCTACTTCTCTACTTTCTATTCCACAATCAATAATCGCAGCTTGAGTGCCTCACATCATTGAAACTTATTGTAGATAAAACTCACCAGTGTAAAACTTCATGAGAGCAGGGACCAGGTGTTTGATGGACAACGGGTGGTTCTCCATCATTTCAGAGAATCGCTGAGTACGAGGCTGTACGGCTGGGTTGGTGACAAACAGCACCTCCACCAATTTGGCAATAAGGTACGGATTCCTGATGTAGTTCTGACTGCAGATGAACACCACCAAAAAGGCGACAATGTCCTGGACACATGGCTCATACAAAACCTGGGGAGAGTACCTAGGAAAACAAAAAAAAAAAAAAAAAGGGGGGGGGGGGGGGAGTACATCAGCAAACAATATAGGTGTTTATAATAATAATAATAATAATAATATTAATTGCATGTACATCTACAACTGATCAACTTATGGAGTCAACCCTATTCAAGATAGCCGGCACAGCTAAGTGACTTTAGAAAACAAAAAGGCTATAACTCAGCTAAATTTATAGATATTGAGTGAATACTTTGCATAGTAGTATTCACAACACATACTTAGAGAGACAACAAATCTTGCGACTTTGTATGAGCTCATAATGTCGTCAACAAAGTTTGAGCAAAACAACTGTAACTTCTATTCGAGCTATTCTCTTAGTTTAAAACACAGGCAGCAGGCAATATGCATTCCTTCAAGGAAATTTAAGTATTTGCTTTTTCTGTATTAAAAATACAAATAATGTACATTTATACAATATACTCTTCTCAAATTGTCATCAAAACAAATGTTAAATATAAACATTTAATACCTTTGTTATCAAAACAAATACGTTTTATTAAGACATGACGAATGCGTAAAACAAGCAGAGAACTTACTGAACAACAAAAAGCAGAAACTCTGCCACGTCTTCAACGTAAAACTCAGGCAGAGCAGCAAAGCTTTTGGGAATCTCAGGGTTCAATGGCAGCACAATACTGTGAAATAGGGGATATAAAAAAAATAAAAATAGGATAATGCCTTTTGATTTATAATATACTTGACGTGAAGCACAACATGACAAAAATAAAAAAGGTAAAGTGATGGTAGTCTGTTTTTCGTTGTCATATTAATGTACAACAGTCAGTGTGGTGACTCACTTGGGGTAGGCTGGGTCCACCATGCGAAGAATGAGCCGGATGACTGTGCTGTAAAACTGCAGACATCTGCGGAGCAGGTTCTCATCCAGAAGACCCACGTCAGCACAAGCTTTGGCTCGCACCAGTTTCTGATGGGACAATGTCACACACAGTAAGGATCACATTGCTGTGAATCTGTTGAGTTACAGAATCATGCATGGTGTAGCAAGTGCTCTAGTGTCCAAATGCACGTAACGAAAGTATTGGAATGCATAAATCTGTAAATCTGATCAATAAACGAAGAAGAGATAGCAGAAACAGCAGCTAGGACAAACCTTGAGCTGGGTTTTGCATCGTTTGAGCATTTCTCTGTGCCGACTAGCCAAGGGAGAATCTTTCCATTGACTCTCACTGTTTTTCAGCTCCTCTACAGTCCTAAAATAACAACATTATTAATACACTTGCACTGTGAATACGCTATAAACGCTTGTGTGCATGTGTACCTGTTGAGTTCTCGAATGGCACGCAATCTGCGGATGTAGCGCCGGCAGCAAGGCAGAATGGACAAATGGTGGGTGTGAAGTGTGAAGAAGAAACACTCGGTGGGGAACTTGGATTCTGAGAACTTTGAGGGATCTTCATCTGTGCACATTGCAAGATGGAAAGCAACATTCAACTATGAAGGTAAATGAGTAAAATGTACAGGCCATGATCATATTCAGCAGGTGTAGAGGATATTTTTATGTTTAAACTATAAAAAAGAAACTGGTAGTTATTCCCTTATAGTTAGAATGAATCCCTTCTTAAATATTGACTAAACAAGTTTCATAACCAGCTGTCAATTCATTTGAAAGACAGTAATTAGGAACTCAAAAGTTGTTTTATTTTATTTGTACTACTTTAATTGTACTACTTTTACTTGTACTACATTAATAGTACTACATTGTTCCAACAGTCTTGCATTAATGTATTGTGAGACAAGTCCACTTACGCAGTTCAGTTAGCCAGATTTTGAGCTCCTCCATTGTGGCTTTCAGGCGCGTTTCTTCCAGACTGACAACAAGGCGACACCGTGGATGGAAAATGTAGAAGGGGTCAACCGTCTCCAGCTTGATCTTCATGCTCAGCTGTTGCAGCACCCATAAGAAGTTGAGCATGAAACCATCTGTCGACACCAACTTGTCATCAGTCTGAAAAAAATATTGTTTCCCCCCAAAAAAAGACAAAACTTTGAGAGGGATAGAATTTGTTAAGATGAATGTTAATATATACATGTTAGGCATCTACTGTTTTCTCCTATTGTGCAAATGTGACTGAAGTTCACTTATTTGTGTGGAATAAAAGGACTTGTGCAACATACCTGCATCTGAGCTTTCTTCACATTGTAGTTGATTAGAGCCGACATGTAATTAAGAGCTAACTCGCGTGTTTCTCCATTTAGCAAAATATTGTGAAGAATTTTAAACAGGTCACCCTAAGAAGGAAAAACAAGAATAGTTGTTAGAGCTTTCAGTGTTTTACTGGAAAGGATATGAAAATAAAAACATGCCAATGTTGAGTCACCCTTGCTGACTCCAGGTAGTGCTGCAATGACTGGCTGACAACTCGTGTGTTCTCCATGGTGATGGCTGGGCCAGAGAAATACTTGTCCCCTACTTTGGTCTAAATAGAAACACAGACATTGTATGAATACTATATTGAGAACATTCAACATAGGTGTGCTCCCCATTCAGAACCCTGTTAGTCTTTTTTAAAACCTTGTATAAGTGTTTTGTGTTTTTTTATTATTTAGGCTAACAGATCCAACAGGCATAGGATGCGCTGGTACAACTCACATCATCCTCAGCAAATACAGAAAGACTAAAGGACGCTCCAAGATAGGACAGTCTCTGGATTTCTCTGCCACAACCTGGGCTCAGAGGTTTGGGACACCACAGAGGCAGCGATGTTATCTGAAACAGAAAAAAAAAAAGTTTTTCCCCTTTTCTGTAGAGTATAAAAAGGTCTGGATAAACAGAGCTCTTTTTTCTCAGAACTGAAGACAATGTGGCTATGAATAACAGGCAAGAACCACATTGCTAAATATAATCATTGTTGTTGATTCACTTTTTGCAACTATTTTAGAAATGAGTGGTAAAAACAAATGAGCCTTGAGGAAATAAGGAATTATGGCATATTGTAGCTCTCGAAATCTAAGTGAATACTAACCAAGTTGCACACAGGGTGAGTCTTTCCAAACTTAATTTCACAAAGCTCAGCTAATGCCTGCAAAACAATAACAAACAAACACAAATATTAAGTGGATATTTTTCTTCAGACACTTCATATTTTTCAAATAAAGCTGATAAGGTAGATGTTTTTTTTCTTGCTGTACAAATCCTGTTTATCAGACATTTCTGTCCTTGGTTCTGAAGGATAAAGTCTCCTTACCATGAGGGGATACTTAAAGTTGTCACTGTCAAATGAACATTCTTTCACAGCAAGTGCTAAACCATGGAGAATGGGAATGAAGATCTGAAAAACAAGATAGTAAAACATTGTTATGCTTTAGTGTTTGCAAAACAGATAGCTGCTATGATAAGGCATTTCAGAGATGATGTGCTGAATATGATTTTGTTATTTAATATTCATGCACATACATCAGACGTGGGCAATAGTGTTTTTCCATTGTGCAAGCTTGAACATAAACGGCATCTGTTCGTATTGCATAACACAAGGCTGTGACGATTTAAAATCCACACTGATCTGCACTCTAAAGTTGTGTTATTGATAATCTGTAATTTATACTTGAAGTGCAACATACCAACTTCACACCATTCAGTCTAACCTTGGCTTCTATTAAACTGATTAAGATGCTAGTTATCAGCCTTGTTGAGTCATGTGACACAAACAATCTACTTAGTGTAGCAAATAAATAAATATAACAATGGCATCCCAGACGGCAACAAAGATTTTTGAAGATCTAATTAAATTTGTTTAGAGAGTTTTTTGCTCCTGGTGGTCTCAACATAAGAAACTGATTATAGTGAAGTATAAAAGGGTTAAAAAAATGAATATGAAAGGACGTGCATCTCACCTGTCTGAACACTTCCTCCTCCTGATGGGTAATGCGCACCAGCTCCTGAATAAAGCCATACGGAAGGTTCCGACACAGCAGATAAGGTACCAGCAGAGACGGTTGGAGTGGGCTCCTACACGAAGTTAAAAGACAGAAAAAAATGAATAGAAAATAAATAGCAAGTGAAAAAGTAGTTGCTATGGAGACGTCAGAGTCAGAGATTCTTTATTGTCATTCGCACCACATGTGGTTTTGTAAGAAAAACAGTAACAACATCTAAGACGTGAACTAAGAAAAACAATCTAAAAATACACTAAGCACTAATAGCATAAAAAACATTACGATGAAGAGCAGCACGAACATGAGCATGAGTCTGTGTGAGCAGATGAGCATGCATGAACATGTCAACATGAAACAGATCAGCAGCAACATGATGTGATTTTTTCCACAGTGATTATTCTGGTTAGAGATTCATGAGTGTAACAGCCTCAAGGTAGAAGCTGTTCCTCAGTCTAGAGGTTCTACACTTAATGCTCCTCAACCTCCTTCCTGAGGGGAGCAGGGCAAAAAGTGTGTGTGCTGGGTGAGTGGGGTCCTTCATGATGCAGGTGGCCCTCTTCCTGCATCTGGAGGTGAAAATGTCTGTGATGGTGGGGAGACGGACCCCAACAGTCTTCTGTGCAGCCTTCACCACTCTCTACAAAGCTTTTCTTCCTGCAGCTGTGCAGCCTCCATGCCACACGTTGATGCTGGAGCACAGGATGTTCTCCACTGCACACTTGTGGAAGGAGGTGAGAACTGAGCTTCCCAGACCAGCTCGTCTCAGCCGCCTGAGGAAGTAGAGTCTCTGATGAGCTTTCATGATCAGGCTGGCAGTGTTGTTGCCCCAGCTGAGGTCATCATTCATGTGTACACCCAAGTACTTGTAGGTGGAGACCACTTCCACTGTTCCTTCTGAAGTCCACAATCATACCCTTTGTCTTCCTCACATGGAAGTGAAGGTTATTCTCTTTGCACCAGCTCTCCAGGTGTTCCACCTCCTGCCTGTAGCTGGATTCATCGTTTGCGATGCATCCCACCACCGCTGTATCATCTGCAAACTTTACAATTTGGCAGCCTGGATGGGTAGCTGCACATTCATACGTAAGCAGAGTAAACAGGAGGGGGCTCGACACGCATCCCTGAGGAGAGCCAGTGCTGAGGGTTGTGGTGGAGGAGGAGAAGTTGTGGATCCTCACTAACTGTGGTCTGTTTAAGAAGTCTAGTACCCAGTTGCAAATGGAGGGGCTTAGTCCTAGTGTGGATAGCTTGTCCATCAGGGTTTGGGGGATCATGGTGTTGAAGGCGGATGTGAAGTCCACAAAGAGCATACGGACGTAAGAGTCTTTCTGCTCCAGGTGGTTGAGCGCAGTGTGGACCACAGAGGAGATGGCATCCTCTGTTGATCGGTTCTCACGGTATGCATTCTGATGAGGGTCCTCATTGGTGTTGATGGTTGTTTTGATGTGGGTCATGACCAGTTTTTCGAAGCATTTAGCGACTATCGGGGTGAGGGCCACTGGCTGATAATCATTCAGACCAGTCACTGTAGAGCTTTTTGGGACTGGGATGATGGTGGCAGTCATCAGACATGGTGTGAAAGGAACAGAACTACATGCATGCAATAACAGAGAGGAAAACTCAGGCTATTCACAGTGAATGGATGGGTGTCTTACCGAGGCTGGGTCAGGGTCCCCTGCAGGACCAGGGCAACATGGGAGATACATTGAGAGCGAATGTTACTGAGAAGCTGGCTGACATTTGGTTGGCTGCACATCTGTAAAAGAGAAAACAATGGAGAGGAAACGAGTGCTGGGATTTAGTAAATAAAAAAATAAAAAAATCATTTAACCAACTTCACAAACTCTCTAAGACATTGCTGAATTAAGAAAAGAAAAAAAAGGTTATAGACCTGCAACCTTGCCACTAATCTGAAACACAAAATGTCCTGTCCTCAAAATATTTCATAAAAGTTTAGATTCCGTGACAAAATACTTAAAAAGAAATTGCATTTTATTTTTAAAGAAATGTAATTACAATTCCAACATATTATTTTAATAAAATGTCTAGATTTGTTTAGGGGTGGTAGGATAACTAGAGAAATAAACATAATTATCTTCTCCTGCAGACAGTCACCCACCTTGGGAGCTTTTCTCTCTTCCATGCCAACGCTGTCAAAACGCTCAATGAGGTAGTTCAGCATCTCTGTCTCTTTGCAGGCTTCAATTGTGAAGCGATCACTGGCTGAATTACTTGACATCCCCCCTCCACATGCACCAAGACTACAAATAGAAAGGTAAGGACAAATACAGAGAGGGTTATTAAATCTCACACACACAAAAAAATTCAAGATCCCCTATTCATCAAAAGACATTATGGGTAAGTAGTTAAGCTTAAAACCAAACTTTCAGTGATCCTGAAAAAAGCCCAAGCATTAAAAACAGTGCAGCAAATATCAGGTGCAGACACTTAAAAGAAAAAAACAGTTCAAAATGGTTTAGAAAAATTCTAATTTGCAAGAGCAAATATTTTTGGGGAAATTTTACTTTTACACGTATTTGACCAAGAAGATAAAAGCTCAAACACTGGTTAGTATTCAAGTTACGAGTGGCTTCAAAGCACAACAAATCTCTAGTAGACACTAGAGAGTATAATAAAATGGTTAAATGCCTGGAATGCAGCAACCATAACCATCCATCTGAATAATTCAAATTGTAGCGTAAAAAGAAAACACAAGTTAGATTGTTAAATTACACCACTAATTTGTAAAATAAGTTAAAATTTTAAATTATTTTTAGTTATTAATGGTAAGATTTTAGAATTATTATAGTTAAAGGATCCTTACTAATATTAAATATGAAAAACACACAATTTAGGTCAACTTTCTAGTGCTTGTATGGTCTACAACCCATTTACAGAGGTCTCTTGTTCGTATTCTGCAACACTGTGATGGTAAAGGTGACATTTGTCTTCAGTGTGCACTGCAGAGAGTTCAGAGTAAAAAGCAGCAACATTCCTACCTAATCTTATTGAGATATTTTTAAATACGTCAAAAATACAAATTAAACCATTAAGAAACCATACCCACCAATCATCTAACAGCCAGAAGACTGAAAGTCATCATCAGTGTATCTCTTACAAGTCTAACCTGGAATATTTGTGCACCATTAGTGCAAAGCCTGGTGGACCCACTGAAACATGCAGTAGGTCCATCCCTGAGCAAGCGCACAAAAAACCATATGAACACACACCGTGCAGCAGTGTACCTGGACCCAAACTGAACCTGTGCAAAATCCTCCTCCTCAGAATCTTCATCACTGCTGTCTTGAGACATACCAGAAAGAGCAAAAAACTGGAACGGCAAGGGGCTAACAGAGCAAGAAAAAGAAGGGAGTGAGAGATAGACGGGATAAAACAAAACTGAGGAGTCAAAGAATAAAAGCACTAAAAAATAAAAAATTAAGGATTGCTACAAGTCACAAAAGAAGAGAGAAAGGGACCAGAGAGAAAACTATTGTTGCATGCTTCTTTGATTCGTACTTATTGTGATGCGTTTTAAATACACAGACTGTCTGTGTGCAGCTTTTACACATTAAGTGAACTTGTTGTCAAATGATAATAGAAATCTACATTAACGTGTTACTTATTGTGACACAAAGTCACAATGGCCAATTGTTCTTTGTTTGAGAACTTTCTGATCAAACAGAAGTCTAAATGTTGTTTGTTAAACTATAACCTCTTTATTAAAAAAAAAGGTTTGTAAGCTCAATCATCCAGGCAGATAACAGCAAAAATGGTTAAATCAGGTCATGTAACGTCTTTATATTTGTTGTACTTAAAATCTTTGGTGATAAACAGTTAATATAAAAGTACTGGTAAATAAATACAAAATTCTGCAACAAAAAACTAAATCCATTCATTTATGTTGCTGACAGAATTGTTTCTAGTTGCAATTTTACAAGCAAATAAAGTTTCGATTTCTTGTCTGAATATAAAATTTAATTTCTAACTGCTAAACTACCAATTTGGATCATATTCAGTTAAGATGGGTACCTCTAAACATGAGTGAATTAGTGCTGAAAAGTGATACCAGATTTAAGTAATATAAGAAGTAATGTGAACGATTAAAGATAAAGGATTTTGCCAAGTAATTAGCTGGCATGCAACATATCTAATTTTAAATCTGGAAAATCTAAAAAGTTTAAGTTTTTGCTCTCTACACGGACATGCAAATGACAGATGGGATACCTAGATGATGAGATCCTTGTTGCAAAGGCAGCCTGTCGAGCATTCAATCTGGGAGAAGGTGGCACCACAAAAGGGGCTGTAGAGGATTGATTCAGTGGGCTAGGTGAGCTCAAGGGGAGGAACTGAGGGCTAAGAGGTGTTGCAGGAACTGGGGTGTTGGGAGGAACAGTGGGCCCAGCTGGGCTTGGAGAAGGTACAGGGAAAATAAATCCTCTGTGACCTGGACTGACTGGGGAAGAAGCTCCCCAGGAAGTGGTGACAGAGTAGGGCCGATAGCGCTGGGAGATGGGCATGGGGGCAGAAGAAGGGTTCAGAGGAAGGGAATGCCTCAGAGAGACAGAGGCAGGTGGGCTGGGGGGAACAATAAACTGTGGAGTTGGAGGTGTAGAAGGAACAGTGGATGTAGCTGGAGTGGATAGAGATGAGCAAGTCCTGTCGGCTGCATCCAAAGCCATTGGATGAGGACTACCACACCCATATAGACTGTGGATAATATTGATAAGATGATCATTGGCAAAAATTATTTGGTAACAACACTTTAAAACAGGAATGATCAAAGCAAACTCAGACTAGAACAGACACATGACACTTCAGTTACAATACAAAGAAAAAATGAAACAGAAGCCATGACAAAGCCTCTCTTTGTCTGTGGAAGGTCAGTCACAATAGTACATAGCACTGAGTGAAGGTACTTGCCTGGACAAAGAGCTGGCTCCAAAAGACCCAGCGCTGGGGCCCACTGGGCTGTCACCTTGGCTAGGAGGCTGCACCAGTGTGAGATGGTGGTTGGGGGATTTTGCTGCTGCAATTGGCTGTGAAGTGGCGGTCAAGCTGGCAAATGGGTTGTGGATATTTGACTGGGATGACATCATTAGAACTTCCAGAAGAATCTGGCTGATGAGGTCTTTAAAGTCAGTGTACACTGCAAGATAAGAAAAAGTAACAACCATGTTATATTATTGATTAAATGTAAACAAAAAACATGGTTTTAAATAAAATTATGTAGTTCAGCGCCACACCATCTTTATGGATCTGCTGAAACTCTGCAGCCAGTGAAGGGAGGAAGATAACATCCCTGTCCTGCTCCTTCCACGATACGCGGAGGATCTTACAGATAAGCTGCAGAGCCTGTTCTTCGGAGACATCAGAATTTGCAGAGGTTTCCTGGGAAAGATAAAAAGTGCTTTGATGCAAGGTTGAGGTATTAACATAGCATGTACCATATAACTATTACAACTGATTAATTTGTCCGTGGTTGGCCAAAGAAAATATGAGGAATCAAAACAAAAAAAAAGAAGAAAGATAGATTACGTTTTTGGAAAGTCAATAATTATTATTGTTTAAAAAGACAAATACTCATATTACATTAATTTGTTTAAGGCTAAATTTATCTCTAGATGACAACAAATAAAGTCAAAGACTTTCTCTTTTGACTAATGTGTAGTGCAGTCTACCTTTTCAGTCAAGTTTCTCTTCTCCCTCCGGTCACTGTCTTCCACCTCCATGTTTTCAATCCCTGAGTCTACATCCACCTGGGACATGCTGAAGAAAAAAGAAAGGAAAAGTGTTTTAGACCTTTCTGCACACACTGAAAGCTCACACAGTGTCTCATTTGCCTCGTCTCTTTTACAACACATCAAACAATCTAAAAGGTCAAATATTTCTAAGTTGACAACATTTTTTACCCTGTGTGATGGAGAACTACATATTTTAAAGCCACTTTTCAAGCTCGCAGGAAGAGTGTCTGACATTTAAAACACCGTTTTACCTCTTTTCACAAGAGGCAGGGTCAATGTCCATGCTCTGTGATCGAGACAAATTCTGGGACTGTGTCTCGAGGCTGTTGGAGGGGGAGCTGGACAGAGAGCTCACACCCTCGCTGCTTTGACTTCCATATGCCACACCTGCAAAAGCACAAACACATTTAAAAAACTCTAAAGCACAAATAAAATATTCTTGACTGAAATATTGAGCATTCTTCTTTGTGATTCTGAAAACAACAACAACAAAAATGATTCATACTGATTTAGGTTGGAATATAAGCATTAGGTTTTAAGTTTGGTTGCCTTTTTTTTTTTGAACGCCACACTTTTTTCTGAAGTTAATACATTCATTCATTCATTCATTCAACCTTTATTTAGTATTTAGACAGGTACATAATAAAGGCAAACAAACAATGTTTTTAAGGCTTCCACTGCCTTTTTCTTTCTTTTTGCTCCTATAAATCACAAGAAAAAACTGCAGCACAGCATTAAGCGTTTGTTTAGCTTCCAAGCACTATAATAATTGTTCTACAGTTTAAAATAATAATCAAAATAGTACACCAATAAAATCTTGAAACAAAATAATAAAGGTCAGTCAAATCAAAAGAAAGAACTTTAAAAATCTATAATAAAAATATGCATTCATTACAAACTAAATATTTAATCTGGGTTCACCTAAAACAAAAGTATAAAGTTAAGGTGATATTTACTAATGCTAGCAACAAGAACATCTATGCATATCAACAAACTATGCCAGGAAACAGTCATGCAACCTGCTGATCATGCTGGGCCTACACTTTAAAATCAAACAGCATCACTGATGTTTACAGCAAGTCTGCTGATTGTATTCCATATATTCTTCAAATTATCATTGTTGTATTATATAAATTGTCTTCTCAGAATTGTGCTAAAAAACTTTTTTCTCTACAGAAACCATCCCATGGGCTAATTTTGCAATAAACTAGTTTGACAATATAACCTATTTGATGATACAGAAACAAAGTAGTTTTGTTTACGTCAAAACTATGTCCATATTGAATCTGAAGCATTATGCAACCTCGGCGTCTACTAACAACTGCACATCAGTTTTGGTGAAATTCAATAAACTTTTCATCTCTGTTACAATTGCATAGAGAAACAAATAAATTGAACAAAGTATCTGTTAGCCTCTTATAACCTGTAAACATTGATTTCTTACCAGAGGTGCCCATAGGGGAAGTGACAGGGGTACCACTATGGACACTGAGCCCCAACAACTGAGAGGCAGTAGGTGGTACGGGTTGGAGTGCAACACCTGAGGGGCCAGGGAGGGGGCCAGGTGGAGTCTCTCTCTGTGGGGATGTGAGGGGTGTGCTAAGAGGGGTGCTGGGTTGTGACTGTCCTCCTGCCAGTCGTGCCAGTCGCCTTCTGCGAATCTTAAAACATATACAAGTGTGTATTCAGTCAAAGCACAATCAGCAGATTTAATGATATTTAAACAGTTAAAATGTTTGAAAAGTTATAGATTAGCTTTTATTAAGTCATTTGCTTTATAAATAAAACCATGCTGCCATAATGTCTGCTTTAATAATTGTTTTATATTTATTTAATAGGTCTGTGGGAGCTTAGCTTGCTGTTTTTCAAATGATGCAAACTTGTTCTAGATGTGTAAACAACATATTTATCTTAGTTCATCAATTTATCATACATATAGTTATATACATGAAGCAATTTTAATAAATTCAACTACTGTCTACATTAATACATAAAATGTTAATGAATTTTTAATTAATTTAAAATAAAAGAAAGAAAAATCCAGGACGTGAATGTGAATTATCTGGAAGGTGAGTAAGATTAAAATTAGTATATTATAATATATATATATATATATATATATATATATACACTGTCATCATGCTGAAGAAGCTATGCAATAAATGAAACAAATTCAAACATGTGGTCACTTTAAAATGTGACCATTTAAATACAATCGGATGTAGGAGTCAACATTCATAGTAAATTTATGCCACCTAAGTGCTAATTTAGCAGCAGTATGCGAAGTCAAAGTAACAAAAAGCATTAAGTGTAGCTTGATAGTATCTGTGGCTCGAGGAGTTCCGCTCGGTGGCTGTAAGGTCGAGTCTTTTCTGCTGAGTCGTTTCGTAAGCTCATGTTGACGTTAACAAAACATTAGCCACAGCCAACACTCACACCGCAAGAATATGTGTGAAATCTACTTTATTAAAAAGTAACACACCTGTAAAGTAGTGCACACAAGTAACTATGTTCCACTCAAAAGTCGACTTTAGTTGATTTTAATGTAAAATCATGTGTATTCAGAGCTTATTCTGGCTAAGGCTTGACGTTAGCTAGTTAGCACAGACCCAAGCTCAACGGCTAAATGACTGCAGAAAAGACCCAGGTCTGACTTCTTAATAACTCGCTCTTTATAGGAATGAAATACCATAAAATGTAATACTACAGGTTGGGTTGGCATGTCTATAAATCTGCCCCAGAGTTGAGACAACTGTGGGATTCTGTCACCAACTGGTTTCTTCCCTTTATAAATTGGGCTAACAGCTCCTGCTACCTTTTCTGAAGCCACTCGGCTCGTAGTAAGAGCCCACAAAAATTAAACGAGAACGTTCTCCAAGTGAAAATAGTCACGTTAGTCAAATTAAGCTATGCTTTGCACGTAGTTTGTGTTTTCTTTCATTGTCACCTTACCTCATCTGCGCTCAACTCCTCCATCATCGCAGCTAAGTTAGCTAGCTATTCTACTTTCAGTTGTTTCGGTGTGCCAGACAGAAAATGCATAGTTTAACTCGTTCAACGGATGGGTGTCAGTCCTGATTGTCCTGAAGGTAAAAACTGGGACACCGATATGGGAAGAATGGAAAGATACAGAGCTCCCGACCGCCTCTCGTTTGGTGTTCTTTTTTTGCCCAAGACTCAAACAAAAAGAAAAGTAGCGAGCTTATTATATACGTCAAATTACAACGGCGGCCATTTTGGTTCTACATTACGTCCGTCACGTGACTCTGGGAAGAGGAGTGCGTGACGTCAGTACGTCGCTTGATAAAAGTCGATTTGTTTTAGTGTACTATAATAGAAAGTGTGTATTAGTGTTTTTTGCCCTTTTTTGTATTGTGTGTATAGTGTTGAACGTAATAAACATTAATTTTATATTTTGAAACTGCCGTTTAATCAGAGTCAGAGTTTCTTTATTGTCATTCGCACCTCATGTGGTGGTGGAGCGAAATTATGTACACAGGGTCCCAGTTACATCCAACAATAAAATGTATAAGAAAAACAGTAATAACATCTAAGATATGAACTAAGAAAAACATCAACTAAATATACACTAAGCACTCATAACATAAAACATTGAACATCAGCACAAACATGAACATGAGTCTGTGAGCAGATGTGCACGCATGAACACATCAACATTGAAACAGATCAGCAGCAACATGATATGGTTTTTCACAGTGATTATTATAGTTAGAGATTCATGAGTCTAACAGCCTCAGGGTAGAAGCTGTTCCTCAGTCTAGTGGTTCTACACTTAATGCTCCTTAACCTCCTTCCTGAGGGGAGTGGGGCAAAAAGTGTGTGTGCTGGGTGAGTGGGGTCCTTCATGATGCAGGTGGCCCTCTTCCTGCATCTGAAGGTGTAGATGTCTGTGATGGTGGGGAGGCTGATTCCGACAGATTTCTGTGCAGCCTTCACCACTCTCTGCAAAGCTTTTCTTTCTGCAGCTGTGCAGCCTCCATGCCACACATTGATGCTCGAGCACAGGATGCTCTCCACTGCACACCTGTAGAAGGAGGTGAGGACTGAGCTTCCCAGACCAGCTCGCCTCAGCCGTCTGAGGAAGTAGAGTCTCTGATGAGCTTTCTTGATCAGGCTGGTGTGTTGTTGCTCCAGCTGAGGTTGTCATTCATGTGTACACCCAAGTACTTGTAGCTGGAGACCACTTCCACCGCAGATCCTCTTATGTTCAGGGGGGTGTAGGTGTTTTTGTTCCTTCTGAAGTCCACAATCATCTCCTTTGTCTTCTTCACATTGATGTGAAGGTTATTCTCTCTGCACCAGCTCTCCAGGTGTTCCACCTCTTGCCTGTAGCTGGACTCATCATTGTTTGTGATGCATCCCACCACCGCTGTATCATCTGCAAACTTTACAATGTGACAGCCTGGATGGGTAGCTGCACAATCATATGTGTGCAGAGTAAACAGGAGGGGGCTCAACACACATCCCTGAGGAGAGCCAGTGCTGAGGGTTATGGTGGAGGAGGAGAGGTTGTGGATCCTCACTAACTGTGGTCTGTTTGTTAAAAAGTCTAGTACCCAGTTGCAGATGGAGGGGCTTAGTCCTAGTTTGGATAGTTTGTCCATCAGGGTTTGGGGGATCATGGTGTTGAAGGCGGATGTGAAGTCCACAAAGAGCATACGGACGTAAGAGTTTTTCTGCTCCAGGTGGTTGAGCGCAGTGTGGACCACAGAGGAGATTGCATCCTCTGTTGATCGGTTCTCACGGTATGCGTACTGATGAGGGTCCTCGTTGATGTTGATGGTTGTTTTGATGCGAGTCATGACCAGTTTTTCGAAGCATTTAGCGACTATCGGGGTGAGGGCCACTGGCCGATAGTCATTCAGACCAGTCACTGTAGAGCTTTTTGGGACTGGGATGATGGTGGCAGTCTTCAGGCAGGTGGGAACTGTCTCCAGGGTAAGTGAGGTGTTAAAGATGTCTGCCAGCACCTCACAGAGCTGATCAGCACGTTCCTTCAACACTTTTCCGGGGATGTTGTCTGGGCCAGTTGCTTTGTGCGGATTAATCCTCCTGAAGGTACTCCTTACTTCTGCTGAGGTCACGCTGAGATGCTCTTCATCTGGTGGTGAGGTGAGTCTGGTGCTGGGTGGTCTGTTCGGGTCTTCAAAGCGTGCATAGAACTTGTTAATATAAACTTCATAAAAGTGGATTTGATCAGGCTGCATTAGTTTTTTTTAAACAAACAGAAGAGTATGTCAAAAATATATAATTAATGGGGAAAATTTGAATGGTCAAATATTGTATTATTTTTACAGTTTATCAATGCATTAAATACATTATTCTGCATGGTCCTTGTCAATTTGCCCAGCTACCAAATGCAGATGCCAAAAAGGGGGCTGAAAATGATTTGACATTATATAAATATAATATTTATTTATATTAAAAACAATGCCTTTTGTATTGGTGAGTTGTTTTAATGGAATGGCCGATGTCCGATACTTAACTTTATCGCTAATATCAGCAGATACCAATACCATGCTGATAAAATTGTTCATCCCTAATAAAAACTCTAGCTTGCATAAACCAAAATAATTAAAATCCACAACTAATGCCACAGATAAATCAAGTTTTCTTTTCTTATCTAAGCGATAAGGGCAGCGCTTCACAACGAAGCTGCAGACCCGTGCACGTTCGTCTACCCTTGTTGGACGGCTGCAATGAAATTTATTTTCGCTGCGCTTAACTGTGCAATGACAATAGTTTTTATTAATTTCATACAAAAATCACAAAATCAAAGTTAAGAGAAATGTGTTCTACTGTTTACATCTGAGCTGTGCTTAAAACATTCAACTCTTCTTTTCAAACTGATTTAGATTTAAGTGAGGTATTTATACTGAAATGGTAAATCGGTGTAAAAAGAACAGTAACATTGGCGTTGGTGGCGTACAGTGCAGAAAGAAGTCAACCCAACCCAATTCACACGAAAACAAACAGCATTACTTTTGTTTAAACATTAAAATATATTTTCTCCTCGTGTATGGAGGACGGAATGTGACAAAATGAAATAAATAAATTCATAACAATTAAATGTATCATTTAATTATTAAATACATAATTAAATCATTGAATACGCAATTAAATTATTAAATACACAATTAAATTACTTATTTCATGATTTATTTAATTTTGCCACCATACGTTGGACACATTCCATCCTCCACACTCGTGACTGTGCAGGTGGAAAAATGCAGCAAGTTGTTTTATGCGAATCTGGTCATGGTGCACATGATGCTGCAAAATAAAAAGTTTGGAAAGACTCGAGTTACAGCTGTATTGTTTGTGCCTATAATATTTTTTAGAATTTTTAATGTGGTCTTTTCTCTTAAACAGTAACCCCAGTGCTATCAGATTATAGTTGATGGTAATTTTCTTCACCTGCAGTTTGACAGAGATGATGAATTGCAGGATTTGGTAACGAGTTTCATTCAGAGATCAGAGCAGGACACAAGACTGAAGATTTTAAAAAAGCGATCCAACTGATAAACAGAGTGTTTTATTTATTTTTATTTATAGCACCATCCAAATCAATCACTTTAATAATGAGGGTTCTGCTGATTTCAGCTTTAAAAGAGGGGTGGGGAAGTGCATGGAAAATTTCAACTGAGTGCAACAAACCCTGATTTAAAATTATTTTTCTTGATTTTAAGTTTATGCAATAACAAACACGTTAAGTAAATATTAAAACCTGTTTCATTACTGCAAACAATGCTTGTTTTTAGCAGTGGATGCTAGTTGAACTTGTGCTCAGTTTGTTGTTCACTCGCATAACATCACTGCTGCAAAATGAAACGGTCCTTAAATGACTTTGCACAGAAAAGCATGAATGTCTCAAGAAACTCACTCATCAGGAAGGCTGATCTGCAGTTTAGGCACTGGTGGAAGTTTCAGGGGAGTCACTCTTGTTCTATTTAGTTTAAATTTACTGGAAACCTTCATGGGTGTTTTTCATCAGCTCGATGAGGCGTCCGTGTATCTCTGAAGAGGCGCAAGGATCACATCAGCATTTTTCTGCTCGCTCTCGGCGCTGTAGAGGTTGTGCTCCCGTATGTAGCAGATGACGCTGTCTGGCAGCAGATATCTGACGCTCTGACCTCGCCTCAGCGCTCGGCGCACGTGAGTGGCCGAGATATCGTTGGTCACCCATTCGTGGACGGTGTGGATGTTCTTGTGATGCTTCCACAGCACATCTGACTGGTGGATGAACTTGTGAGGGTCGTTGCCGCTGCGGGTGATGCAAACCACACCGTAGCGTCCGACGATCTCCGCAATATCCTCCGGCTTCCACAGGTTGGGAATCCCGAATGATTCGAGGACATCGGCCCCACACAGCAGCAACAGCTGAGGGCTGTCTGAACACACAAAGGAAACAGATTTCAGTCACCATAAAGCTCGATTCTTTACAGCTTAATTAAAGTCCACTCAGAGGTCTTGTGAAGTAATCCTGAATATGAAAAAAGCTGCTTCAGTCCTAATAAACTAGATGTTTTCACAGAAACTGCAGAGTGAATGTTGAGTGCTGAACGACTGCAGAAATTTGCTGATGTTGACAGAGTTGTTAAAGCTAAAACAGCAGAACAGCTAAAATGTAAAAAAGCAGCACACGTGGTAAAAGCTAAAAAGAGCAAAACACAAGCTAAGCTGGTAAATTAGCATTCACACTTATATAAGCCACGTATTGCTCCGCTCAGGGTGGCTGCATGTTGGAGTACCTGTTACGTTCATTCCGAGATATTTCTTTTGGAAACTTCAATTCCTCTTTTTCTGGGTGTAAATCACAATTTTTTGGATGATTGTTTCATCTGTTGTCAGATGCTGTGCAGCTGGAAGGATTTTTACTGACACTTTTTAACTTTTGGACATTTGTTATGATGCGTAACCATAACAACAAGGTGTTACCTTTTTTACAACTGGGAGCTGCTGATTAACATCTCAAAACTCAAATAATAGCTCAAATACAGCCCCAAATTTCAAATGAGTTGAAAAGGAGGCGCTGTAGATGCATTCCCATCTATTTCCCAGCTGTGCTCGAGTGCCTGACCATTGTGATCCTGGAACTGGCAGGAAACACGGCTCATGACAGCAGAAGGACCAGGGTCGTCCCCCGGCACATGCAGCCGGCAGTCTGCAGCGAGAAGGGGCTCGGCAAGTTGCTGGGAGGAGTGACCATCGCTCTGGGAAAAGTTCAGCCCGGCATTCAGGTGGTCCTGCAGCCCGGGGCAACCGAGAGGCCAGCCGAGTCTGTGTGGACGGATCGGAAGACATCTGCGGCCATTTTCTTCGGATCCACTGTGGGACGGACCTTTACAAGAGATCCTTCCTGCCTATAGCCATCAGCATCTATAATATCTCTTAATGAAACGAGGATAATGAGTTACAACAACATTTCCTTTGGGATTAATAAAGTATATTTGAACTGAACTGAGTTGAACTGAATAAAAATGACAATATACTTAACCCATTCTTTTGTTTAATATAGAGTCTTTGTCGTCACAAGGAGGAAAAAGTTATTCAGATTTTTATTTTTTTTATGTGAAAAACATTTGGTTTGGAAGTGAGTTACATGTCTTCCTGATTATTGCAATCTGTGAATAATTGCACAGGTTGCACTTCATCTGCTTACATTTGCAGTCTTTTGCAACACAGCAACATAAATGAGACTGAAGCGATCCTTTTAGCTTGAACTGAAAGTTTCTGGACTTCTGTTTCAATTCCATCCATCCATCCATTATCTTTTACCCGCTTCCTCCATTTTGGGTCACGGGGGTCGCCGGTGCCCATGTCCAGCAATCACTGTGCGAGGGGCGGTGAACAGAAACAGTCGTATTAAAAAAGTAAGTTAACACTAATTATCTGAGGAGCAGACTGCTTTGAGTTTAACTTTATCACAGACTCATCTTGAGCAAGCATGAAGGCGACAGTAGAAAGGAAAAACTTCCTCATAAGGAAAAAACCTCCAGCAGAACCAGGCTCAGGACAAGCGGCCATCTGCTTCGACTGGCTGGGTTTGAGAGGACAGGAAGGAGGAACAGATACACAATGGCAGGTCAAGAATCACGTGTTTCTTGAAGACGTTTTCCTTCTCATCCAAGATTTCTTAAATTTCAGAGTTTGTACCTTTCAGCTCGTAGATAAGAAGCAAAACTCCAAGAATAAAAAAAGAAAGTTCAGCAGGCTTTAACTCAACCTACTAGGATTACCTTGTTTGGGATGACTGAGACTCTACAGCAGCTTTCAGACTGAAGTGCTGGTACAAAGGTCTTGTCTTTACGGCCTGGTTTGTTGCACTTTGACTACTTTTGAGTCATGTGACTGACTGTCAACCACCACACACAAATACATCGAGTATCCATCCATTCACTATCTTTTTCTTCCTTTTCAGGTCATGGGGGTCACTGGTGCAGATATCCAGCAGTCACTGTGCAAGAGGCAGGGGACACCCTGGACAGGTCTCCAGTCCATCACAGGGACACATAGAGACAAACAACCATTCATTCTCATTCTCACATTCTCACATTCTCTCTCTCTCTCTCTCTCTCACATTCTCTCACATTCTCTCTCTCTCTCTCTCTCTCTCTCTCTCTCTCTCTCTCTCTCTCTCTCTCTCTCTCTCTCTCTCTCTCTCTCTCTCTCTCTCTCTCTCTCTCTCTCTCTCTCTCTCTCTCTCTCTCTCTCTCTCT